GAAACTCCTGATTGCTGGGCCTTATCCCCAGAGTTTCTGATTCTGGGGTGAGGCCTGAGAATTTGCATTTCTAATAAGTTCCCAGGTGATGCTATGCTGCTGGTCTACATTTTGAGAACTATTACCTTAAGGAATTGGCTTCATTTAAAAAAATTAGGTCATATATATTTTATTTTATTTATTTTTGTTTTGAGGTATGCGGGCCTCTCACTGTTGTGGCCACTTCTGTTGCGGAGCACAAGCTCCAGACGCACAGGCTCAGCGGCCATGGCTCACGGGCCCAGCCGCTCCCCGGCATGTGGGATCTTCTCGGACCGGGGCACGAATCTGCGTCCCCTGCATTGGCAGGTGGACTCTCAACCACTGCGCCACCAGGGAAGCCCTGGTCATATATATTTTAAAATATGCAACAAGTGTGGTTTATTTTCTTAGGAGTTACCTATGTAATTCAGGACTTTGTTTTAGATATCTCATGAATACTACCTAAGGGAAAACTGAATTTTTTATTCATGCAATGGCGTATATTTAAAATCAGGACTATCATGTCAAAGCAGTTGCAGAAAATCCTCCTTCCCTTTGTTATTTATAAAACTAAAAGCTGTTTTTTTTGTTTTTGTTTTTTTTGCAGTGCAGTAGGTACTTGTGTGCCATTTTCATCCTTGATGACACTTTTCCCATGTGGATCAGAATCAAATTAGTAAAGCATTCTCAACATACTGGTTAAAAGAATTTCTGTCAGTGATGTCCTCCAATTAGGAAGTGTTAGCAGGAGACCTTCAAATTCTCCATATCCTAAACACTCCTGGTTGAATTGAAAAAACCTTGAACTCATAGATGGGGAGGTCAGAGTAATGTAGTCCCTGGACTTCTGATGGCATCCGCAGCATAGACATAAGGGCACAGATTCTGAAACCAGACTGACCAGGTATGAATCTCAGTTTTGTCACTCATAGCTTGAGCAAATGATTGAACTCCTTTGTGACTCAGTTTTCTTATCTGTAAAATAGGAATAATAGTATTTACTTCATAGAAATATTAATGAAGATTAAATGCGTTAGTGTGTGTAAAGTGCTTGGAATTGTGCCAGGCACAAAGTAAATGTTAAATAAATGTTACCTGTTACTACCCACAAACAAGTCTCTCTGCTCGAACGAAGTTGGCTTGATCTGAAACCCACTGATCTTATTTCCCCGACCAGGGATTGAACCCACGCCCTTGGCAGTGAAAGTGTGGACCCCTAATCACTGGACTGCCAGGGAATTCCTGCTCCCCCCGCCCCCACTGATCTTTTCAATGTCATAATTTTGGAGGCTTCTTGAGGGATAGTTATACAGTTAAATCCATTTTTGCTAGTGGTTCTCATGCAGGGTGATTTTGCCCCTTGGGATAAATGTCTGGAGACATTTTTGGCTGTTATAACTGGGGGGAGGGAGGGTCGCCAGTGGGTAGCACCTAGTGGCTGGAGGCTGGGGATGCTGTTAAATTCTACAATGCTCAGGACAAGCCACCACCACCACAAAAAATTACCAAGTCCTAAATGTGCCAGAGTTGAGAAGCCCCGATTTGTGCTGTCTGGTGTGAGATTAATATGTGGATCTTCATCTTGGTGACAGCCTGAATCTGTGGTGTGTTGATAAATATTTAACAACCTGTTTCCACCCCCACTGATGGGGGTGGAAACAAAGTCCTGATTTGCAAAATTTTGCCAATTTCCGTGGTGTAAAAATTCCCACTGTAACCCGTTTCAAGCAACCAACTTTATGTCACTGCACGTAGAATTAGGAAGAGATACTGTACCAAACCATTACAGTTCCTGGCCACATAGAGGATGGGGGCCCAGGTTGTCCTAGGGCTTCTCCTATTGCTTCCTTTATGGGGTGCAGAGAAAAGGATAAAATTCTTGTTACTACTCCCATCTGCTTGTTTAGTGTTTCTCTATGGGTGGGGTTATGAATTTGAGCATGAAGATGAATAACTTAATTCTGAGTGCCATTGACAGTGTTAATTTCACAATAAAAGATAAGGTAGAAAAACAGAGAAATAGGATGTGGAGGAATAAAAAACGGGAAGAGTAGAGAGGGAAAAGAAAGAAAAATTGATGTACTGTGTGAGAAGTGACAGTGTCTATTGACAAAAATGTTAACTATTAAGACAATGAATAGAGAAAAAAATATAATACGGTGTTAAAAGAATACTATTATCCTGACACATCTCCTCTCCCAGCCCTGTATCTCCTCTCTTGACTAATAGTATCATTAGCTACCTGGTCACTCAAGCAAGAAACCTGGGCATCACCCCTAACTTCTCACCCTGACCTCCCCACTTAGAATTGGACACAAAGTCTTATCAGTTCTCCCATCTCCTGTCTGTCCCATTATCTTCCTTCTTAGCTCTCAACTTAATTTAGGCCCTAATTGTTTGTGGCTTGGACTCTTCCAGTAGTTTCCTGGTGGCTGCCTGGAATTCTGATTCTCCTCTACACAGTGGTTTTCTGAGTACAGTGGTTAACAGCATAGAATCTGAAGCCAGACCGCCCTGGGTTCCATTCATTCCATTACTCACTAGCTGTGTGATTTGGAAGTTACTTTACGTCTCCATCTTAGATCCCTCATCTGGGAAACAGGGATGACACTAGTAGTACCTCATAAGGCTGCTGTGAGGTCTAAAGGAAGTGCTCTATGGGAAGTACTCAGAACTGTGCCCTGCGTTACTTTGTTCAAGATTGCAGTTCACAACCCTGCAGCAGTTCTCTGGTCCCACTTATCAACCAGGCAAACTCCTGATCAACCATCAGGATTTGGCTCCTGGGTCTGTTTCTCATGAAGCCCTGGGAGACTCATTTAGGCAGTTTAACTTTCTTCCTTCCAGACTTCACCTTGCATCTCTCACTGCACTCAGCACAATAGTGCGATCACCTGCTTACAGAGTTACTATCTTCCTTCTGCCAAGTGAGCTATTGCTACTTGAGAGCAAGCACTGTGCCTAACACAGAGTAGATAATTAGAAGCAATCAACAGTGTTAACTATGTATGAAAGTAAGAAAGGGACAGAAAGGATTGGGAAAAAAAACACCTGTTTTGCCACACTGATTGGATGATGGATGTTTTAACCCTTCTCTGTATTATTTTCATGTGGTTTCTATAATACAAAGTTTTTTTTTTTTTTTTGCGGTACACGGGCCTCTCACTGTTGTGGCCTCTCCCATTGTGGAGTACAGGCTCCGGACGCGCAGGCTCGGCGGCCATGGCTCACGGGCCTAGCCGCTCCGCGGCATGTGGGATCCTCTCAGACCGGGGCACAAACCCGTGTGCCCTGCATCGGCAGGCGGACTCTCAACCACTGCGCCACCAGGGAAGCCCTAATACAAAGTTTTTTTTAAATAATAATTTTATTTATTATTTTTGGCTGCATTGGGTCTTCGTTGTGGCATACGGGCTTTCTCTAGCTGTGGCGAGTGCAGGCTTCTCATTGCTGTGGCTTCTCGTTGTGGAGCACGGGCTCTAGGGTGTGCAGGCTTCAGTAGTTGTGGCTCATGGGCTCTAGAGCGCAGGCTCAGTATTAGTCGTGTCACACGGGCTTAGTTGCTCCATGGCATGTGGGATCTTCCCCGACCACGGATCAAACCTGTGTCTCCTGCATTGGCAGGCGGATTCTTAACCACTGTGCCACCAGGGAAGTCCTGGTAATACAAAGTTAAAAATGGCTCCCATGTATCCATGTAACAAAAGGCCCTTTTCCCCCTTGGTTAAAATAGACTGGATCCATAAAAGGAACTACTGCTTAGCAATAAAAAGGAACAAAATATTAAATCATAAGATATGGGTGAGTCCCCAAAACTGTCTACTAAGTGACACTGACACACAAACATGAATAGACTGAGCTTGCCTGAATTAGAATGTCATTTCCACCACTACCGTAGCTGTGTCACATCAGACAAGTGGTTTAACTTCTCTAGGGGTATTTCCTTATCTGTAAAATAAGGATGACAGTAGTACCTACCTCACAGGGCTGACAGGAGAATTAAATGCTCATGTGCTCAGTAAGTGTGAGCTAAAGCAGCCATTTCTATAAAAATTCTTTTGACGTCCTGGGAGCCCCTTCTGTCCATGACAGGCTGCACTGTTCTCTCTACTCCCAGTGGCTTGTTGCAGGCCACACCTCTCACCTGAGGGCTGCCCCCCCTTCCTTCATACCTCCTCCTGAACCCAGAGGTATGAAGGAATTTTAATAATTACACCTATTCATTCTTGATGATCAGAGGACTAAATAGGAAAAAAAATGGAAAAATTAACTCACTGGAAGTCTCACCCCGCAGTTAACCACTAATGTAATAGGGAAGAACCTTCTATTCTATTACAAATTAGTCACTAAAGGGCTGTTGCCTGTAAGCTTCAATTATACATAATGGCCCATCTCTGGGAACCCTGCCTCCCAGGTAGTGAGCATTAAGCTAAAATACCTTTTTTTTTAGCTCACAAGATAACATCCTGACCAGGCCCACCTGTGAATGACTGCAGGGAGGAAGAGGACATGTTTGACTTTGCCCTCTCCCGTTTTAGTATAAAAGAAGCCTGAGTTCCAACGCAAGCAGCTGGTTCCTTCGGGGCAGAAGTTCCCTCTTCTCGGTTTGCTGTCTCTCCAAGTAAGTCTACTCCTTGCCCCAACAAGTCATTTCTCGGATTCATTGGCCTGTCCTGCAGCGTGCACCAGGAGCTTGGACTCGGTAACACTAATGTTTTGGTATATACTTTTTAAGACCTTTTCTTAGGCAAATACACCGTATCAGTATGTCTTTCTTCTTTTAATTAAAAAACGAATTCATATTATATAAACTTTATTTTATAACCCATCCTTTTACTTATACTACGGCCCTTCCCCCAGGAACACCACTGTCTCCCACTTGCAGCTTCTACTGGTCAGGCCTTTCCTCTGAGGCCCCGGCCCTGCCGGAGACCAGGTTCCGGCCCCACCTGCCAGGCCCCGGGGCCGCCCCGCCCCCGCCGCGGCCAGCTTCATACCCGGCCCCGCACCCCGCTCTCGCTGTCACCGGGGGCCCGTCGCTCGCGGCTCCTCCGTGCGGCCCGTTTCTGGTGGGGCAAGGGCGTCTCCGCGGCGGCCCGGCTCCCGCGCGCTCAGCACCGCCGGCGGCGGCCAGATGCAGGCAGAGCGAGGAGCTCGGGGCGGCCGAGGACGCCGACCCGGCCGCGGCCGGTCTAGCGGGGATCGCGACCGCGAGCGGGCAGGCGCCCCGGCGGCGGTGGCGAGAGGCGGCGGCGGGGATGGAGGCGGCCGTCGGGGCCGCGGCAGGGGCTTCCGGGGCAGCCGCGGAGGCCGAGGAGGAGGAGGTCCGCGAGGCGGCCGCCGAGAGCCACGAGGTTGGGGCGCCGGGGCCAGTGCGCCGGTAAGAGGCGACGGCTGGTGGGATCCTGGTCGGGGTCGGGGTCGCGGCCTCGTGGGACCGGGGCTGGTGGGGGTCCAGGCCCGGTGGGGGTCCGGGCCCAGAGTCAGAAGCCGCGATCGGCGTGCAGGGAATACGCGAGCCGGACGGCGGCAGCGCCTGCGCAGGACGGGCGGAGGGCGGCGGGGGTGTGCGCCGGGGTGCACACGTGGCGTGGGGGGTGAGTGTGCGTCCCTTCCTCCCTCTCTGCTGGGCTGCGCTGAGGTTCAAGGCCATGGGCTTCCCCAGCCTGCCCAAGAGGTCTTGGCCCAATTATTAAAGGACCCAGCGGCCGCGGCTGTGTCCGCAAGTCAAGGGGGCCGGTTGGGTTCGGGTGCGGGTGTCAGTGTGATTAACCCTTTTGGGGTAGGGACAACCAGGGCTTGGTCTCCCAGTGCCTAACCTCACAGGGAGACATTCCTATTATTAAGAAGGAAGGGATTTGGGGGTCAGTTTTGTTCACTGCCTGTGCAATGCGTGGCACACAGTAGGCACATAATAAATGTTTACTCAGTGAAAGAATGACCCCGACGAGCTGGACTCTATAGTATTTGGGGGCGGGATCGGATGCATAGTTCTCTCTCTTTTTTTTTAATAGCATAGTTCTCTTTCATTGTATGTGTGTAGGAATCAGGGGGCGGTGGCCTTCGTCTATTTGAATTTTCTATCTGTAAATGTTTCAGCAGTCAGGTCTCAATTTTATTAGCATTATAATCGGCCATATTCACACATTCATAATTGGAAGTGTCCTAGAGCTTGGAGCAGGGAATGGTTTGGGGGCAAACTGTTACTCTACTGATACCCTAGCTAAAGGAGTTAAATTACTTTCTTTATGAGCTGTTCTGTTATTTTAACATTTGTAGTACAAAACTTTCTTTATATTTTGAATTCCCATGTGCATAGATTAAAAAATTATTATAGTTTTGGGTTGAGTTAAATTTCCTATTACTGAAGTATTGATATTTGTAATATCTTAAAGGCATAGTAGGTAGGATGTCCCTAAAGATAGGAGTTGTGTACAGAAGTAGAGTTGGAAAAAATACAAAACTTAAGTGTGCCATATTTAACCTTGTTAGGATTAAGGCAGGTAATAAGTAAAATTTGAGAGAGGTATGAAGAAATTCTTAGAGTCAGCTCACCAGGAAATGAAGGAAACTGACCAGTCTAGTGCACATTATATATCACATCTTGTTTTTATAACATTATTTACCTATATAACTTTATTACAACTTAATTTTTTTAGTAACTTGAAAGTTGTTTAAACAACTTGATAACAAATTTTTTATATGTATACTTTATAAAGTCTTCATTTTTATAGGTTAACTGACTTGCCTAAGCTGTTGAAGCCAGTGGCAGAGCTGGGATTTATACCCAGCTGCCTTTGACTTGACTGTGTTTTCTCTCTTACATTTTTGTGAACCAATCACTGCTTTACTGAGAATAAAGGGGACACTCCTTGGTTGCAGGGATCATGTTTTAACAGTAATTGTAGTAATGGTACCTTTGGTATTTGGTCTCTGTTGAACTAAATTGAATGAAATGATGGTGTATCATTTAGAGATGAATAATGTATTTTTTGGTTTATGCTAATATTGTAACCATTGTATTAAAACTTTAGGCTTTTATCCTTTTCTACAATGGTCTGAAAAATTCCATCTTGTGTTTTCTTTTAGGATTTTCTCACTGCACAGTTTAATGATTCAGTGTGTCAGTGAATGTAGATGCTTTGCACAGTGCCTGGGGCATAGCTGCAGCCACTGTTACTACCACCATCATGTTTTTAGGCAGAGGTGGATGAAGAGTGGTTGGAAAGATTATTCCTTCATTTTGGTTTGGGTTGGTGGCCTGTAAGGTCACTTCCACATCTCAGATTCTGAAGTGCTCTTCCTATTTAGGCTTGCTAAGAATACTATTTCTTGGTGCCTAAAGACTAAGTGGGACAAGGTTGATTAAGGTGCCTGAGGCCTCCTTGCTCTCATATCCTGTGGTGCATTTGTGCCCCAAATGGAGATTAATTGAAATGATTAGAAAGAAAAAAAGTTCACAGTGGAGTTTTAGCTGTGTAAGGACCAGGTACCTAACTCCAGAATTGAATACTGTCTATTCCCTTTGCTACTGTTGTAGACTACTACGGATACATGGCTTATAAGTGGAAAACAGGCCAAAATAAAACTAAACCAAACAACTTCTTGATATGTAATACTCCAAGGTAACTTAGTTGAGTACATTGCATCTGCTAGTCTCTTGCTCTTAAATCATTTCCTCTATAGATGGTATGAACCCCAAGCCTATGGAGTTTGGGTAAGCATGTCATAAGGCTAATTATCTTCATTGAATACCCACTAGGTGTAATATTATACTTAATGCAATCATTAACTTAAAAAAAACCCAGTACTAGGATTTGCTTAGTATTATATTAATATTTTTGATGAACTGTTAACAGAGAGGAAGTCAAGGCCTATTGGCAGTCCTTGGAAATTTTTTTCTTCCCTGTAATATTAATAATAACTTACATTTATTGAACACTTAGTATGAGATGAGAAAACTGAGGCACAGTTAGATTACTCACAGTTAGGAGAGCTTAGGTGATCTACCCAATATCACTCAACCACCAAATTAAGGAGTCTGAATTTAACCCAGGCATTTCGGCTCCACAGCTGAATCTTTTAACTACTACCCCAAACTGCATCTGGAGTGATTGAGAGATGTGAAGAGCGGATGTATGGATGACTTGAGTGATACCTGTTTTCCTGATGTTTTGATATGATTATAGGTTTTAAGGTAATACAGATACCATATTCAATTATTGTGGGTGTCAGATCTTTGCTTTCTTGCTCCATGTTAATGTGTCAGCTGCTCTTATTCATTTTTTAAAATTATTTAAAAAAATTTTTTTTTTTTGGCTGTGTTGGGTCTTTGCTGTGCGCGGGTTGTCTCTGGTTGCGGCGAGCGGGGGCCACTCTTCGTTGCAGTGCGCAGGCTTCTCATTGCAGTGCTTCTCTTGTTGTGGAGCACGGGCTCTAGGTGCACAGGCTTCAGTAGTTGTGGCTTGCGGGCTTCAGTAGTTGTGGCGTATGGGCTTAGTTGCTCCACGGCATGTGGTATCTTCCCAGACCAGGGCTTGAACCCGTGTCCCCTGCGTTGGCAGGCGGACTCTTAACCACTGCGTCACCAGGGAAGTCTCTGTATTGACTTTTTAAATAGAAGTGTCACATCATTCTTATGCATGGAGTCTAAATACTATAGTCATTTAATATTCGCCATCATTATCTATTTTTCCACCTTTTGCTTTTTTCGATGTTATTATTTTTTAAAATTTTCTTTTCAAGGTTTTCTTTTTTTAAAAAAATTTTTATTTTTGGCTGTGTTGGGTCTTCATTGCTGCACACGGGCTTTCTCTAGTTGAGGCGAGTGGGGGCTACTCTTCGTTGCGGTGCATGGGCTTATTGTGGTGGCTTCTCGTTGCAGAGCACGGGCTCTAGGCACATAGGCTTCAATAGTTGTGGCACAAGGGCTCAGTGGTTGTGGCGCACGGGCTTAGTTACTCTGAGGCATGTGGGATCTTCCCGGACCAGGGCTCTAACCCGTGTCCCCTGTATTGGCAGGCGGATTCTCAACCACTGCCACCAGGGAAGTCCCTCGATGTTATTTTTTCTTCCAGTTTGAGTTATAAATGATGTATAGCACTATATGAGTTTAAGGTGTACAGCATAATGACTTGGTGTACATACATCATGAAATGATTATCACAATAAGTTTAGTGAGCAACTGTCACCTCATAGATGCAAAATTAAAAAAAATAGAAAAAATTTCCTTATGATGGGAACTCTTAGGATTTACTCTGACTTTCATATATAACATACACCTGTGTTAATTATATTGCTCATGTTTACATTACATCCCTAGTATTTATCTTATAACTGGAAGTTTGTACACCACCATCCATTTAAGAATCACATTAATATTAACAGTGAGAAGACTTACATTATTCCTTATTCTTTTTAACTTGTTTTTTAATTCCACATCTCCCTTAGAGCTTGACCCAGTGTAATATATATATATATATATATATATATATTTTTTTTTTTTTGTGGTATGCGGGCCTCTCACTGTTGTGGCCTCTCCCATCGCGGAGCACAGGCTCCGTATGCACAGGCCCAGTGGCCGTGGCTCACGGGCCCAGCTGCTCCGCAGCATGTGGGATCCTCCCGGACCGGGGCATGAACCCGTGTCCCCTGCATCGGCAGGCGGACTCTCAACCACCGCGCCACCAGGGAAGCCCGTAATATATTTTTGAACTTGAAAATTTTTTAGTGATTACCCTTTCTGCTTCCTTGTAACAACTTGTGATTTAAAAAAATGTTCTGTAACCTTAAGGCTTGGGTATAAATTTTTCTTTTAGATTAAATTAAAATCACATTGATTTATATACAATCTATTTTAATTAGCAGTTGTTAAACATGTAAAATTTTATGTAAATTTTATGTAAAATTTTATGTAAAAAGATCATGTAAATGACCTTTTTCCCTAATGAGTTTAGTTGGGTATCCATGAATGAATATTACTTATTGCCTGAATGAGACAGGATTCACTGTCAATTTTCTTCCTAATTTTTCTTTTTATAGATGTAAGTACTGAGAAACATAGTTCTCATAAATTGGTAGATGGGACTGGTTGGAGTTTTGTCATGTAAGTGTCACTCAATTCTTTGAATACCTTTCTGATTATATGCTGAAATCATTACTGTAAAACATTTGAATGATCTGTCAGCTGACGGCTAGATTAGGTCCTCCTTCAATTTTGTTGAAAACAAGGAATTGGAAACTACTGATTTGTGAAAGGGCTCAATACTTTCTCAGTATCTACACCTGTATTTCAAATTACCCTTTGCTTGGGCTTCAGGGAATGCACCACAGTCAGACTGAGAATGGCCGAGAAGGGGTTGCCTTGTCCTCAAGTGCTAA